ACAGGGTGAACAAAACCATGCCCCCACACACAGTCTAACATCCAGAAAAAACCCAAATCTTTTGCATATCTATATTTCAAGGTGTCCCGAGTCCAATAATGTAAAAATTTGCGGGGGGGGGGTCATTTGACAGATTGCTACACTTTCCTCCGTTATACAGGGTGTATCTTGAGACATTGAAATAACTTAATTGGATCTCATTATTTTGGAAAAAGGTATAGACAAAAGTTGTAGGATATCGAGGAGCCAATCAATTGGTGACCTTGAAGTTGACCTTCAAGGTCATTTGGAGGTCAAGTGTTTTTTTCTATGGGAACACACATTTTTGACCCCCGAAAATGGAAAGAACAGGAAATTTCACAACCGGATGTACCTTTGACCTTATTGTCTAGGTCAAAGGTCAAGATAATTTTAAGGTTAAAAATTTAAGCTTTTTCTAATGGGAAACCATACTTTTTATTACTGGAATAGGCAGGGAGGTGAAAGTTACATTTACATGGAAACAATGGGAAATTTCACAATCAGCCATGACCTTGAGTACCCCAAATTTGACCTCTGAAGGTCATCTCAAGCGTGATAATTGTAAGCACGGCTCAATAAATGCATTAAAGTGGAAGGGCATCATTTCGAACATTTGTTATAAAATTTTCCCCCAAAACCAACATCTCAAACAATGGTAAGAATTATAGTGACTTACCGAAAACAAGCACCGGGATAGTGAGAGGCAAGGAGATTCACTGAAAATAAGCACCTCAGAGGGAGCAGAAAACTACTACATCCACATCGTTACTCCTTGGTAGTGCTAAAAGTAGTGAATGCTTTTAAAGTTCAAAGTAATAAGGTCATGAAAAAATGTAACTTTTACCTTCCTGCCTATTCCAGTAATAAAAAGTATGATTTCTCATTAGGAAAAAGCTTATAATTTTAACCTTAAAATAATCTTGACCTTTGACCTAGACCTTAGGATCAAGGGTATATCTGGATGTAAAATTTCCTGTTCTTTCCATTTCCAGGGTCAAAAATATGTGTTTCCATTGAAAAAACAGACTTGACCTCCAAATGAAGGTGAACTTCAAGGTCACACATGAGGTCACCAATTGATTGGCCCCTCAATATCTTACAACTTTTGTCTATACCTTTTTCCAAAATAATGAGATCCAATTAAGTTATTTCAATGTCTCAACATAAAAAATACCCCTGTATATATCAACCGGGAAAGTAAAAATTATCGAATACATATTACCTATGGCATGGCTGAAATTTTAGAAAATGTGAACAAGAGAAAACTAAATCCTTAACACAAAATGAAGTTAATGGATCTTATCTTACAACTCTCAATATGTCGATAATAGGGTTATTACTGAAGATGAATCATAGGTGCCGAAGTTCAAAGCATGCTTCAATGCAATGGATATATATCCCAGTTACCTGGCAAGCAAGTTTAAGCATTACCAAGTGAGGTTATGGTTACTGTGTGTTGGATTAACAGTATTTCCCAAGACTACTGTTTTTCATAAGTGTGAAAATATAAATGCCACGTAGTACTGTGACTTTCCAGTTTGCATCTTGAAAAGATAACACCCAAAGAATATAATCCTCGAAGCTAATTGCTTAGAGGATTATATTCTTGCTTGACAATGCCCTCTCACAGCTCAAGAAACCTAGCAGGATGAGAATATGGGATGAGGTAAGTGTTCCCTAAGTGAATTCACTTCACTTAAATGTTATAGAAGACCAAATACTGTACAGCTTAAACCTGAATTTATGAGTAATCAATGTGAGAATTTCTTGAGGTATCTGCTTTTATTTGTCTTCCTGATTTGAGCCTAATATTAAAGAATTTTTGTCAACATTGTTTACCAAGCTGTGGTCTTGTGAGGTCTTTGTTTTTTGAGAAGTATAATCGAACCCCTTATAACACTGTTGATAATTCCGTTTTATATGAATTCCATGTTGTACGAGTCAGATTTTACAAATACGTGTGCTGAGCTGTGAATGGCTCACGTATTTGACCTCTAAATAAAAAGATGAAAATGTTTCATCTTTTTATTTAGAGGCCAATCTTTACCTACGTGCACAATCATGGTGGCAGTTACGACTGTTCGCTTTGGTTAGGTTAGATTAATTATATTTTTAGTACATGTTTCCTTTTTTTTCTTTTGTTCAGAAACTACTGTGAATCAGCAACTAGTAATGTTAGGCACTCGGTGGCCTGCTGGCGGCTCCCCTCCGGGAGGAGTCCATCGGGACTGCGGCCACGACGGTGCATATACAGTAGGTAAAGATTAACCTATTTAGAATCATTAGGTGATAATTTTAGTGTTATTTGAAGAATACAGCTAAGGTGTTATGCCAAAGCAAAATGCAAATTTCAACCAGAAATAATGCATAAGCTCTTCTTCATTTACAAGACCAGTTTCTGTGAGATTTTTTAGAGGTTAAAGTGTACCTAGGTAACCCCAATGGCAGCACTTCTGGTCGCCATCTTGTTTACTGCTTTGCGATTGCACAAAACGCCGATATACGAAATTCACCAATTTGGATCCTGTGGCTATAAATTTTTACCATATAAAACTTAATTATTTACAATAAAAGATCAATCTTTACTTACGTGCACCATGACAGTGCACGAAGGCAAACATTGATCGAAGAAAATGTTATTACAGTCGACCCCCCCATAACACTGTTGATTATTCCGTTTTATATGAATTCCATATTGTACGAGTCACTTAGATTTTACAAATATGTGTGCCAGGCTGTGAATGGCTCACGTATTCGTAAAATCTAAGTGACTTGTACAATATGGAATTCATATAACACGGAATTATCAACAGTGTTATGGGGGTCGACTGTACTCAATGATTTGGTGTTTTTATTCCTTTTACCTTCTTTTTTTCTCACCGCGACTTGATGTGGCAACTGTCTCAGATTTGAATACTTCATTTTAGTTGATGTTTAGACATTCTTACTTTTATTTCAAACTGTTTCCTTTTCTTTTTGTCGTCTTTTTAAAAAATTTGGGAGCTGCAGGCACTATTTCTGGTTCCGTCCATTTTGCTTTTTTCCAGAACCTTGATAAATCCAACTCGAATGTTTTATGAACAGTTTAAAACATTCGCTTGGCAATTTTACAAATATTTTATACATGAAAGAGTATAGATACAAATCTGACAATTCCTTGGTATAATGTATAGGTAGATTTTTTTTTCTATTTTTTAATCCCCATAATCTTTCTACTTTCTGGGTATGCGTGCTCGTGATTGGATTTACAGTCGTCTTCTATTTCAATACCTTCTAGGTCATTTATATTATTGTAGCCTCTCCACTCGTCAGTTATTACAATACTTGCTGCAGAATTGACACAATTCAAAATTACCCAGTTTGAGTGTAAATTTCCTTCTATCATTAACCTTACAAAGCAAGATTTGTCAACTCAACATATCCCTCCTACAACCCATCTCGTCCCTTCTTTTAGCAATCAATAGAAATTCTGTTAAATGTTCGAAACGGCGTAAATTAATTAACACAAACGTCTTCGACATGTTGCAAACTCAACCATACAGCAAATTTTATGTATACCTAGGTAACTAAAATGGTGGTGCTTCGGACTGATTCCTCCCGAAGGGCCCCTCTACTTTTATTTTCGCACTGTCGTCGAGATTACCGGAAGCGCCGCCATTGGCGTTACCTAGGTACACTTTAACCATTTTAGAAATGATGTATGCTTGTATATCATAGTTACGCTGTACCTTGTAACTGTTTCTCTGATGATCAGGTTAAAAAATGACTTTCAGAAATAGATGAGAAAGCAATGAGCAAAATGTATTAAATATTGCAAGTGACTCAAGAAATGAATATTTTACTCACATCTTATTTCTTCCACTTTACACTCTCATTTGCAATTTACTTCTTAACTTTCTCTTTCCATTTTTACTTATTGGTTTGTTACACATCAATTTGCTTAACTTCAGTTTCCCAGAACTGACTGACAACACTAATTAAGCAAGGACTTGCCATAGGTAACTTCTTGTTATAGGAGGAAAATTTGCAATTTTATCTTGTTATATCAAGGAGAAGAGTGCACAAAACTAGAGGACAACTTTTCAGATGTTTATTGTAATACAAATTTGTATGCTATTTGTTCGGAATTTTGGACTACCGTCCCTCTTCTGCAGGAGGTTACAAAGGTTATCGTAAAAAGGCTAAAAAGGTTATCTTATTCATTTTTTTAAAAAATGAAAGACCTTTTTTGTAGTTAATTTAATAAAATCATTTTACAACTAAATTTTTAGAGAGAGTTTTTTGTAACCTTCTGTTGAAGAGGGATGGTATTTCAAAATGTTGAATAACTACAATACATATTTGTATTAGATTAAATATCTGAAAAACAATTGTTGTAATCTAATCTACTTTTCAACAAGTCCTTAAATATAGAAAAATGTTTACGGGAATGTTACTTTAACACTTATTATGATTGATGCTGCTTGTCCTTTCTAAATAGATAACTTGTTTTGAATATTTGTAAGTCATAAGCTATGATGTACTGTACATAAAACTTAATGATGCTAAAGAGCTAATTTTTAATAGGAAAGTTTTTGAAAAGATTAAATGATATTCAAATTTTTAGATATATGCATATTGCTGATTGACGAGCACTGGAGGGCATTAGAGACATTCTTCCTGACCACAAAGCTATACTTAAGGAATTTTTGTCTTAAATTTCAGAGACAGTTCTAAGATGATGCTTTAAACTGTTTTATACCCTTTGTTTTGCTTTCTTCTTCATTTTTTATATGCTCAAGTTTTGAGATTAGCATGAATTCAGAATGTTTTTGAATGAGATTTTAACAAAATTTTCAAATAATTTCACATCAGTTTTATTAGAAATAGTCATGTGAGAATTGAATTTAATTACAATCTGAAGTTTCACTTAAGTGAATCTTTATTAATAGTAGCAAATTGAAATATAATATACACAAACAAAAAAAAAACCTTTCAAATAAGATTGTCATAAAGAAAGCAACAGGTTTTAATTTGTTACAATTGAGCAAATAGTAAATTTCTATTTAGAGGAAAAAAAAATTAATTCACATGATCAGAAAAAACATTACTTTCTAGTTGCCGCTGAGTTGCTCGTACAACTTTGGCACGTAATCGTCCCACTGGGCCTGGTAGAAGTTTCCTGCGTGCGGAGTGCCGAGATTGTACTTCTGCGCAAAGTTACGGATCTTAAAGTTTCCGCGGTGGTTGCCAGATCGATTGGTGAGACGTTTCTCGTCTGGCTGCAGGGTATTTGGTTGTTTGTAGACTACATAGACATAACGATGAAGACCTTAAAAGAATTTGAAGAAAAAAAAGAAAGGCACAAAATTATGTATTCGTTTATATTGATTACCAAAAACTATAAACAAAAGAAATACATTAAGTTACAGTTAATATTACACTGTCATCAAACAAAAACAAAGTGAAGATTTAACAGAATTAGTTTTATAAAAAAAAATCTTACCTGTTCCTTTCGGAGGACCAGATCCAACATATTCTGACAGAACTTCCCCTTTAGAGACATCTGNCCATGACAGTGCACGAAGGCAAACATTGATCGAAGAAAATGTTATTACAGTCGACCCCCCCATAACACTGTTGATTATTCCGTTTTATATGAATTCCATATTGTACGAGTCACTTAGATTTTACAAATATGTGCCAGGCTGTGAATGGCTCACGTATTCGTAAAATCAAGTGACTTGTACAATATGGAATTCATATAACATGGAATTATCAACAGTGTTATGGGGGGGTCGACTGTACTCAATGATTTGGTGTTTTTATTCCTTTTACCTTCTTTTTTTCTCACCGCGACTTGATGTGGCAACTGTCTCAGATTTGAATACTTCATTTTAGTTGATGTTTAGACATTCTTACTTTTATTTCAAACTGTTTCCTTTTCTTTTTGTCGTCTTTTTAAAAAATTTGGGAGCTGCAGGCACTATTTCTGGTTCCGTCCATTTTGCTTTTTTCCAGAACCTTGATAAATCCAACTCGAATGTTTTATGAACAGTTTAAAACATTCGCTTGGCAATTTTACAAATATTTTATACATGAAAGAGTATAGATACAAATCTGACAATTCCTTGGTATAATGTATAGGTAGATTTTTTTTTCTATTTTTTAATCCCCATAATCTTTCTACTTTCTGGGTATGCGTGCTCGTGATTGGATTTACAGTCGTCTTCTATTTCAATACCTTCTAGGTCATTTATATTATTGTAGCCTCTCCACTCGTCAGTTATTACAATACTTGCTGCAGAATTGACACAATTCAAAATTACCCAGTTTGAGTGTAAATTTCCTTCTATCATTAACCTTACAAAGCAAGATTTGTCAACTCAACATATCCCTCCTACAACCCATCTCGTCCCTTCTTTTAGCAATCAATAGAAATTCTGTTAAATGTTCGAAACGGCGTAAATTAATTAACACAAACGTCTTCGACATGTTGCAAACGAACAAGAGAAAACTAAATCCTTAACACAAAATGAAGTTAATGGATCTTATCTTACAACTCTCAATATGTCGATAATAGGGTTATTACTGAAGATGAATCATAGGTGCCGAAGTTCAAAGCATGCTTCAATGCAATGGATATATATCCCAGTTACCTGGCAAGCAAGTTTAAGCATTACCAAGTGAGGTTATGGTTACTGTGTGTTGGATTAACAGTATTTCCCAAGACTACTGTTTTTCATAAGTGTGAAAATATAAATGCCACGTAGTACTGTGACTTTCCAGTTTGCATCTTGAAAAGATAACACCCAAAGAATATAATCCTCGAAGCTAATTGCTTAGAGGATTATATTCTTGCTTGACAATGCCCTCTCACAGCTCAAGAAACCTAGCAGGATGAGAATATGGGATGAGGTAAGTGTTCCCTAAGTGAATTCACTTCACTTAAATGTTATAGAAGACCAAATACTGTACAGCTTAAACCTGAATTTATGAGTAATCAATGTGAGAATTTCTTGAGGTATCTGCTTTTATTTGTCTTCCTGATTTGAGCCTAATATTAAAGAATTTTTGTCAACATTGTTTACCAAGCTGTGGTCTTGTGAGGTCTTTGTTTTTTGAGAAGTATAATCGAACCCCTTATAACACTGTTGATAATTCCGTTTTATATGAATTCCATGTTGTACGAGTCAGATTTTACAAATACGTGTGCTGAGCTGTGAATGGCTCACGTATTTGACCTCTAAATAAAAAGATGAAAATGTTTCATCTTTTTATTTAGAGGCCAATCTTTACCTACGTGCACAATCATGGTGGCAGTTACGACTGTTCGCTTTGGTTAGGTTAGATTAATTATATTTTTAGTACATGTTTCCTTTTTTTTCTTTTGTTCAGAAACTACTGTGAATCAGCAACTAGTAACGTTAGGCACTCGGTGGCCTGCCGGCGGCTCCCCTCCGGGAGGAGTCCATCGGGACTGCGGCCACGACGGTGCATATACAGTAGGTAAAGATTAACCTATTTAGAATCATTAGGTGATAATTTTAGTGTTATTTGAAGAATACAGCTAAGGTGTTATGCCAAAGCAAAATGCAAATTTCAACCAGAAATAATGCATAAGCTCTTCTTCATTTACAAGACCAGTTTCTGTGAGATTTTTTAGAGGTTAAAGTGTACCTAGGTAACCCCAATGGCAGCACTTCTGGTCGCCATCTTGTTTACTGCTTTGCGATTGCACAAAACGCCGATATACGAAATTCACCAATTTGGATCCTGTGGCTATAAATTTTTACCATATAAAACTTAATTATTTACAATAAAAGATCAATCTTTACTTACGTGCACCATGACAGTGCACGAAGGCAAACATTGATCGAAGAAAATGTTATTACAGTCGACCCCCCCATAACACTGTTGATTATTCCGTTTTATATGAATTCCATATTGTACGAGTCACTTAGATTTTACAAATATGTGTGCCAGGCTGTGAATGGCTCACGTATTCGTAAAATCTAAGTGACTTGTACAATATGGAATTCATATAACACGGAATTATCAACAGTGTTATGGGGGGTCGACTGTACTCAATGATTTGGTGTTTTTATTCCTTTTACCTTCTTTTTTTCTCACCGCGACTTGATGTGGCAACTGTCTCAGATTTGAATACTTCATTTTAGTTGATGTTTAGACATTCTTACTTTTATTTCAAACTGTTTCCTTTTCTTTTTGTCGTCTTTTTAAAAAATTTGGGAGCTGCAGGCACTATTTCTGGTTCCGTCCATTTTGCTTTTTTCCAGAACCTTGATAAATCCAACTCGAATGTTTTATGAACAGTTTAAAACATTCGCTTGGCAATTTTACAAATATTTTATACATGAAAGAGTATAGATACAAATCTGACAATTCCTTGGTATAATGTATAGGTAGATTTTTTTTTCTATTTTTTAATCCCCATAATCTTTCTACTTTCTGGGTATGCGTGCTCGTGATTGGATTTACAGTCGTCTTCTATTTCAATACCTTCTAGGTCATTTATATTATTGTAGCCTCTCCACTCGTCAGTTATTACAATACTTGCTGCAGAATTGACACAATTCAAAATTACCCAGTTTGAGTGTAAATTTCCTTCTATCATTAACCTTACAAAGCAAGATTTGTCAACTCAACATATCCCTCCTACAACCCATCTCGTCCCTTCTTTTAGCAATCAATAGAAATTCTGTTAAATGTTCGAAACGGCGTAAATTAATTAACACAAACGTCTTCGACATGTTGCAAACTCAACCATACAGCAAATTTTATGTATACCTAGGTAACTAAAATGGTGGTGCTTCGGACTGATTCCTCCCGAAGGGCCCCTCTACTTTTATTTTCGTACAGCACTGTCGTCGAGATTACCGGAAGCGCCGCCATTGGCGTTACCTAGGTACACTTTAACCATTTTAGAAATGATGTATGCTTGTATATCATAGTTACGCTGTACCTTGTAACTGTTTCTCTGATCAGGTTAAAAAATGACTTTCAGAAATAGATGAGAAAGCAATGAGCAAAATGTATTAAATATTGCAAGTGACTCAAGAAATGAATATTTTACTCACATCTTATTTCTTCCACTTTACACTCTCATTTGCAATTTACTTCTTAACTTTCTCTTTCCATTTTTACTTATTGGTTTGTTACACATCAATTTGCTTAACTTCAGTTTCCCAGAACTGACTGACAACACTAATTAAGCAAGGACTTGCCATAGGTAACTTCTTGTTATAGGAGGAAAATTTGCAATTTTATCTTGTTATATCAAGGAGAAGAGTGCACAAAACTAGAGGACAACTTTTCAGATGTTTATTGTAATACAAATTTGTATGCTATTTGTTCGGCATTTTGGACTACCGTCCCTCTTCTGCAGGAGGTTACAAAGGTTATCGTAAAAAGGCTAAAAAGGTTATCTTATTCATTTTTTTAAAAAATGAAAGACCTTTTTTGTAGTTAATTTAATAAAATCATTTTACAACTAAATTTTTAGAGAGAGTTTTTTGTAACCTTCTGTTGAAGAGGGATGGTATTTCAAAATGTTGAATAACTACAATACATATTTGTATTAGATTAAATATCTGAAAAACAATTGTTGTAATCTAATCTACTTTTCAACAAGTCCTTAAATATAGAAAAATGTTTACGGGAATGTTACTTTAACACTTATTATGATTGATGCTGCTTGTCCTTTCTAAATAGATAACTTGTTTTGAATATTTGTAAGTCATAAGCTATGATGTACTGTACATAAAACTTAATGATGCTAAAGAGCTAATTTTTAATAGGAAAGTTTTTGAAAATATTAAATGATATTCAAATTTTTAGATATATGCATATTGCTGATTGACGAGCACTGGAGGGCATTAGAGACATTCTTCCTGACCACAAAGCTATACTTAAGGAATTTTTGTCTTAAATTTCAGAGACAGTTCTAAGATGATGCTTTAAACTGTTTTATACCCTTTGTTTTGCTTTCTTCTTCATTTTTTATATGCTCAAGTTTTGAGATTAGCATGAATTCAGAATGTTTTTGAATGAGATTTTAACAAAATTTTCAAATAATTTCACATCAGTTTTATTAGAAATAGTCATGTGAGAATTGAATTTAATTACAATCTGAAGTTTCACTTAAGTGAATCTTTATTAATAGTAGCAAATTGAAATATAATATACACAAACAAAAAAAAAACCTTTCAAATAAGATTGTCATAAAGAAAGCAACAGGTTTTAATTTGTTACAATTGAGCAAATAGTAAATTTCTATTTAGAGGAAAAAAAAATTAATTCACATGATCAGAAAAAACATTACTTTCTAGTTGCCGCTGAGTTGCTCGTACAACTTTGGCACGTAATCGTCCCACTGGGCCTGGTAGAAGTTTCCTGCGTGCGGAGTGCCGAGATTGTACTTCTGCGCAAAGTTACGGATCTTAAAGTTTCCGCGGTGGTTGCCAGATCGATTGGTGAGACGTTTCTCGTCTGGCTGCAGGGTATTTGGTTGTTTGTAGACTACATAGACATAACGATGAAGACCTTAAAAGAATTTGAAGAAAAAAAAGAAAGGCACAAAATTATGTATTCGTTTATATTGATTACCAAAAACTATAAACAAAAGAAATACATTAAGTTACAGTTAATATTACACTGTCATCAAACAAAAACAAAGTGAAGATTTAACAGAATTAGTTTTATAAAAAAAAATCTTACCTGTTCCTTTCGGAGGACCAGATCCAACATATTCTGACAGAACTTCCCCTTTAGAGACATCTGTTCCTGGTATGTTTACCACTAGCCAGTGATGCCACTCTCTGTATTTTGGATTCTGTCGGCTTGGTGCATCTGGATCTGCAGTGAAATAAACACATGGTCTACTTCCAGGAAGTTTAACATTAATTAAAATTTTAAAAGTTAAATGCTTTACCTGTCAGACAAAGAGTGTATAGAACATCAGGTTCTGTTGGATAATTTATGTATGTTGGTGGATCTTTAACTTGAGTGGGGGTCAGCTCATTGCCTAAATTAACAGTTTCACCTCCTTCATATTTGATCTGAAAGCAATATATTCATGAAAACTGTGTTAAGGTAAACAGAATATCTAAGCATAGCTAAGATCTAAGAATAGCTAAACAGAATATCACTACCATAACAATATTTATAACTAGAAAGCATGATGTCATTTTGTTCACACAAGTACCATGATTTCAATAGAAAGTAAAACATTAACAATAAACTAAGAATATCTGATTCTTAATGATAACCTCAAGTATATAATTAAACACAAAATTTGTCTTAATCCCATCTATACAACCGTGTAGACAGGGCAGCAAATGTTCTGCTGCAATACATTTAAAGTATTCTCAGATCTTAATATATTGCACCAAGTTCTCATCTTCCTCTTTTCTGACATTTTATTGGTGTTTATTTAATCAGTTCTGGGGAATTGTCATTCCATCTTAAACTATGCACTGTCAGATGTAACTGTCATTCAAATTTCAATGTAAGGGGGAAAAATTTAAATTAGAAATAATTTATCACCATCTATTATGACTCATGTTACTTTACATTAATACAGAAATTTTAAGTTTACAACAATACAGCAATGGACATGGCAAAATATTTTCATGTAAAAGACATTATCTAACACACAAATTATTAATTGTTTAAATAAAAAGGAAAATTACTTATAAATATTTTAGCTTTATTTTATTTTCATTTTTCACTAAAAATATGAGACTTAATCTGTATAAATAAAACATCTGCCTTGCATGACAGAACTAATCATAAAAATATTGCACATCTGTATTTGGGAATTGAAAGTATTTACAAGTTTTGAGCAAATTATAATTCTAAATTTTATTACTAATGATAAATACCAATATTACACACTGATAAAAGTCTTCATTCTATAAAGAGTACTATTTATTATTTCATTAAATTTACAGGAAAAGTCTGGATAGACACAGATTTCCTCCCCTACAAAAACATATATCATAAAAATAAAATAAAAACAGGTAACAAATCTTAAGAGATACAACACTTTTTTACATTTCAATTTAAAATCAGGGATAAAGATGTAAAAATTCATCAAAATTATTAAGATTTTGTGATGTACTGAAGAAAAAAGCTCATTGGGATAGATTTAGACAATAAAAAGGAGTAAAACGGTAAGTAAATAAGTGAAGTTTTCTCAATGGAATTTGGAATAAAAGCCAATCTTGATAAATAAGACCATTAAAATATTTGTAACATATTAACCAATTTAATTCTCTAAAAGAAAGATTGCTAGAATTTGCCCGGGCTTCCCCATATTACAGTGAACAGTGAAAGGAAAGATATATCTTATGTTTAACAAAATGTGTAATCTTATTAATAGCAGAAGTAATCTTTTGTAAAAGGGAAGGTGCAGCCAGCCATTGACCAGATGGGCAGTCCATAATCAACGCAAGATTGAAAATTAGCATAAAAAATGGTCTGCTTAAATTTTAATAATTTTAAATACAAAATTATAAACTCAGTTGCAATTGCAATGGTTTTATGATGATAAATAAGTATATCTGAGAAAACACATTACCAAAAACAAAAAGTAAAAATTAAAATAGTAAATGCAGTATAGTAAAAATTCAACAGTTAAGTATATATAAATGCAGTAGACCCAAATTATTGTAAAGTTTTGAGACAGATTATTTCAAATAAATAGGCATTTTTTAAAGCCGTCTTTTCATGATATCAGCTTCCAAGTCTGTTTGTACAATTGTTGGCATTACCACTGCTTTAAATGCTAATATTGTGGAATGTTCTATATTCGAGATTAAAACATCATCTTGAATATAGAACATTCAAGAAACCGAGCTCTAACCAAGTAACAACAAGATGTCAATCAAAAATTCCGTCATACATTAAATATAATATAATATAAAATGGAATACGGAAAAATCATAAACCGGACAAGCCAACAAGCACATATAAACGAAGACCTAATGGAATTATGGAAGAAGTTTCTTCTAGCAGGATTTCCACAGAGATTGCTGAAACAATGGGAAATCAGACTTAATGACCTAAGAAACCTAGGTAAAAATAAAAATAAGCAACTAATATATTAACTTCCCATATATTAAAGGTCTATATGAAGAAATCAGTGCAGAAATAGAAAGAATAAACTACAAATTAGCACCGTCATATCAAAAAAATGGAGAACAGACTTAACCTCAAACCAGAAGAAAAACGAGCAAATACCGACCAAAAACCAAGGTGTAGTATATAAAATTCTGTGTACCTGCGCAAACAAAAAACATTACATAAAAGAAACAAAAAGAAAAGTAAAAACTAGATCGAAAGAACACATAGCAGACCTAAAATACAATAGAATAAATTCTGCATTTTACGAACATTGTACTATAAACAACTGTAATATAGATATGTAAGAACACCGATTGGGGGGGGAGAATTTTATTCCTTACCGTCAGGATGGTCTAAGGTCTTAGCGTATGTGGGTGGCGGTTTTTGAAGGCAGCAAAGACAAGTGTTTACAAAGGTAAACCGTTTATTCTGGACGATAATGCTTACATAATTTTTTGTTGGCAAAGGTCCTTAAGTTCAGAACTTTGGGTTGTCTTCGTAAGTTGTTTTCGGTGTTGATCTGGTCCTACGCTGGAGGGTTTTCGGCGGCGATCTGGTCTAGCATCATCGGGGCCCCTGGACAGTGTTGAGAGAAAAAAGTTCAAAGTCTCTAACGTCGGTGCACAAAAAGAAGAACGGAGGTACAAAAATAAGCGGAGATCTACGAACACAACAGAAGACTAGGTGGGAGTCTCAGGGGAAGTCTTAGTGGAAGTCCTGTTGTCCTTGAATTTTGCGTTTTATAGGGTTTTTGCGATCGGCTTCTTACTAATTGGATAGATCTTACATCACTGTTTTCCAATTGGTCATCCACCTGTCTCCAGGTGTAAATAGAGCTTCGTAAAGCTCGCGAGAAAGGTCGGTTGGAGATGGTTTATCCGACACCATCTTTCTCGACTCTGATCTCATTTAATTGTTGACTATGACACCTACTCTTTTTGATATTTTTTTTCTAGTTTCGTTTTGCTTTCTAAACTACGTCTTAACTTTAATATTTTAAATTTTCTTCTTTTATATCTAAAAGTTTGTTTTTCCCGTTATTCTTTATGAGCGCTGATGTCAAAGTCGGGTATCGCCGATTCGATACTTATATAATTTGCTTTCTTGACGATTTAACTTAACAAACTGTTTTTTTTCTTATATCTTTCCCTTTTGCGGGGGCTATTTCCGGGGCCTCACAGATCGTGCCGGCGCTTCGAAGTGGACTCGCCAACTAAAACAGCGGTGCCTGCGGTGCCAACAGAGTTGTCACCGCAGGTGGCACCCCTGCTTGCGGTAGACGGGGTTGGAACCCCGCCCACGCGCGTCTCAACAGATAAGGCCATTCATATACTGGCCACACGCTTGCAATTAAAATATCGAAAAGTGAAAAAAATATTTTTTTCTTTAATTTTCTTTACCACTGAGGCGCCCCCTAGGACTTAGCGCCTGGAGCGGCTGCTCAGTTCGCCCTATGGTAGGGCCGGCTCTG